CATTTGCGCGTCGATGCACGTTTCCTCCGTATGCCTCCTCTCTATGCATACGCGTTCGCCGCGCCGCGCCGCGCCGCGCCGCGCCGTTATACGATAACCGCGAAGCGCCTTTCTACCTCTCTCTCTCTACTTCTCCCCCTGTCGAAGAAAGAAGCTTCGGGAAACCACCTGCATTCTCCGTGCCCGAGAAGCTCGAAATAGTAATTTGGGAAAAGTGCGTTTAATTATTCAGATCGTTACAACTATCTGACCGGTCGGAGCGGAGGCGGCGACGCTGCTCGAAAAAGCCGCGCCGACGTACCGCGATGCAATTAAAGTCGAACGTAAACTGATAGGGACGCTGTTACACGAAACTCCGAGGTAATGACTACGCGAGCCGTTGTAATTTATTACCGCGTCTGCTCGTTATTCTCTATTGTAACGTAATTCGGTAATACGGCCTAATTGCGGTCTTAATAAGACCGCGTCTCCGACTCGTACTCCTTTTCTCCTTTCTTTTCCTCGCTTGGTCGTTTACCGAAAGAAACCACGTCCTCCCTCGATCCGTACCGAAACCGGTTCATCGAGCAATTTATATCGCCGACGTTTCTTATTCCGTATCGTCGCGCGCAGCCAGATAAGGCGACCGTCTAAACAGAGGATAACTGGCGAACGGTACCCGAACGTACATACGCAGCGATTAAACGTCTTCGTTGTACCTTTTCGCAATTTGTTTCGCGTTCGATAAGCAGGATGACTCACTGAACGCTCGCTATCGCGTTCCTCCTCGCCCAATGCTATTCGACGCGTTTCTCGTTAACGCCGAAGGAAACGTCCCAAGGAGCCGTTCCAAACACTTTACCCTATTTCGCGATCGTTTCGATCGTCCAGACGAGATGCGAAAAGGCGCGCGCCATCCAAACGGCTCTTCCGCTCGGTTGCGGAGCGCAGGTGCGCGAGAGAACCTCGACGTTTCGTCCAAGGGCATTATTCGTCGCGTTAGAAAGTTCGAGAAGCTTACGGTCGGTAGAGACAGGTGAGTGGATACGTCGGTAGAGTACGGACGGACAGAGCTCTCGGTGTGTTTACGCTCCGAACGATTCTCGCCGCGCCGCGCCGCGCCGCGCGTTGCTTACATCGCATCGACTCTGCTGCTGTCGGGACGAAAAGGTCGAAAGAGCGAAAACCGTGGAGAAGCCGGAGAAGCCCGAAACGCGCCGAACGCTCACGAGAGAGCTACACGCGCGCCTATTCTCCGCTGCTTCGACGCCATCGAGCTGCACCTATGCGCGGATCATTATCGAAAAGGAGAGGAGAGGAGAGAAAAGGATAAAAAAGGATTCGTAGGCGAAGAAAACGCTGACGCGGATAAGGGAAACCCTTACGACCGCCTTTGGTGCGCCGGCTATTTACGAGCGGTCGCGGTCGCGGTCTCTATTCGGATGGAAGCCGCCGGCGTATCGCAAATCCGAAAATTCCCTTCGCAGATCAACTGCCCTTCGTCTCCGATTTCCCCTCGCGACTCTACCTGTCGCCTCGGCTGGCATCCGTTGTTTGCCCGGTGGTCACCGTAGTGTCCGCCATTTCGCGAAATTCCACTGGAAATTCGCAACGTCGCCGCCGCCACCGCCGTTCAAACGAGTTTCGAGCCGCAAAGACGTTAATGGGATTACGTAACGGGAGAAGCTACGACGTCGTATCGAGCGTTCGCAAAACCCACCGTTGTCTTTCGATCCGTTCTTCTTTCTTCGACCGTTCGAGCATGCGATCGTCGTTTCACTTTCCGTTCTCCACTCCGTGAAATTTCACGCTGTTACAGTTGCTCTTGGACGCGAAAGCGCGTAGAATCACCGCGTAGGATCATCTGAATGTTTCCCTCGTTACGCTCGTTCTCGCGTTGTCGAGACAGTAGTAGTAAGACGACAGATTTTCGAGGAGAGAATTCTTCTTTTTAACGAACCGACGACATTCCTCTTCACCTTGGCCGATAACGGCAAACTTGATCAATCTTGCATCGAATCGGGGGAAAAAGTTGTAATGCGGCAACGCTGGCTTCCGAGCGAGAACAGACCGGTACAGCCTGATAAAAATAAATTTGCGCCCGGAATAATCACGGAGCTCCCTAGAGATCCGTATGGACGGTGTCTTAGGTGCTGTTTCGCATAGCGAGCGCGCGCTCGTTCCCGCTTCGCAGATGCGTCCTCTCCTCTACTTCTTCCTTCTTTCCCGTTTCGCCGAGAGGAAGCCCGGAAGGAAGAGGTGACGGCGGTGTACGCGATATCGCTAATCGACAAAAACGCGGTGAGTTCACGGTCTTTCGCGAGGTTCTCGCAACGTGCGTGACGGTGGTGGTAGTAGTATCGCCATCTCGAGCGGAAAGTCTTTTTTCGTTGGATTTCGCAACGCGGTAGAAACGGGTCCTCTACTTTTGAAACGACGCGTATCACGAACGCGTTGCACGAACGCTGCTCGAAGAGGAGAGGAGAGGCGAGGCGGAGAACGGGAAAGACGCGTGTTACGAAACCATAGCCTGCGAGAGAGCCGAAGGAGGAGAAGAGGAGAGCAGAGCCCGTTCGACGAGCTCTCTTCGTGCGGCCGTTTGTGTTCTATCCTCCTCCTCCTCCGCCTCCTCCTCCCGCCGCTGCCGCCGCCACCTCTTCCTATCGCCCCCGCCTCCTCCGCCTCTGCCGTCTCCTCGTCGGTTGCCTCAACCCGACCCTCCGTCCCGTCTTTCGCACCCACCTTCCTACTTTTCCTTCTCTCGCCCTCTCTTTCCTTCATTCACTCTCTTCCTCTTTTGCCGTTAGTCTCCGTCTCCGTACCCGTCCTTCCTCCCTTCGGCACTCCGTTTCCACCTCGACGTTTGCTTCGGGCTAAAATAAAAACGCGAGGGGGATAACCGTACGAGACGACGAGGAGAGAGACGACGACGAAGCCGCAGCGAAGAAGAAGAAAAAAGAGCAGGGTGCGTAAAGTCGAAGAGAAAAAATGGAGACGGTGCGCAAAGGATCCGAGTAAAACGATCGCCACGAAGAAGAAAGAAGGCCGAGGGGAAAGGTAACGCGAACGAACACCAAGAGGAGGAGCAGGAGGAGCAGGAGGAGGAGGAGGAGAATAAGAAGGAGGAGGAGGAGGAGGAGGTGGAGGTGGAGGAGCAGGAGCAGCAGCAGCAGCGCGACGAGGAGGAAAGAATGGAAGGAGCGCGGCGCAAAAGCTACGCGGGAGAAAAAGGAGCAGCAAACAGCGCGAGGAAGCGGAGATGGAGTCTGGACGAGGTGTACGGGCCTAGAGTTTCGCGCATCACTCGGAATGCGATTTACGCGCGCGTCTCGTCTTTACCTTTTCTCCCCTTTTCTTTTTTCATTCTCGTCCACCACGCCGCGAAACAATCGAACGACACAGCTTCCTTCAAAAACGCACGTCGCGAATCGTGTCGCGAATCGCCAATACCCGTCACTTCCAACGAGACCGTTGCTCGTGCTAGAGAAGAAAACCTATCTCGAACGAAATCGGCTGAGATTTGAATTTCTCGCCGGGTCGCGATTATCGAAATCGCGTACTCTATCCAAGAATAATTGCCTTAACTACCTCTCTCGGCAACACCACCGCCGCTTCTCGATACCTAAATCTCTTACACGCCTTTCGAACACGCGCATCTTGCGCCGCTCGTTCGTTACGCATCGACGGAGAAAAGAGGAGGGCGGCGGTCCAGTTTTTCCACGAGAGATCTTAAACGCCGTTAAATTGCCGCGTCGAAGAATACGGCTTTATCGAAGACGATTCACAAATACCCGCATCTCGTAGGCCATTCATGTATTCCGAACTTATGGAATATATGAATAAGTTGCTCGAGAGCGACCGGCAGCGAGCTTCGTTCGGGAAGAAGCGGAGGAAGAGAGAGTCTCGATCGTATCGATAAGATCAATTTTTATCGAGGGAAAAGGATTTATCCGCGACACGTGACCGCGTTTGGTTTTTCCCGCGTTATCCACGCGAAAACACGTCCTTCGGCCACGTGGCTCCGTTTACCTTCGATTCGTCCCGTCCGAGAGGAATTTTACGCGCGGCGATCCACCCTCCCGGAGAAGCGTTCGCCAATCGGGGGCAGAAACGTCGCACCGCGTCGCGCCGCGAGAAAAGTTCCCGAGGAATTTTGCCGGGGAGAACAACCAGGCGAGAAATAGCGGATACACAGCGGTCGAAGCACAGAATGTAGCCTTGACCTATTGGCGGCCTCGAAACGCAGCGTCTGCTCCAAAGTTCTCGCGGTTTCGGTTCGGTTCTCTAGAGACCGCGTCAAACCTATTTATCGTCTCCGCCGCTGCTGCTGCCTGCTGCTCTCCAACCTGCTGGACTAGGCTGCCCTAGGTCGCGACGCGACGCGACGCGACGCGACGCGACGTTCCTTCATCTTGGCGCACATCGATCACCAGCGACGACGCGCCGCGGTGGAAACGTCAACCTCGGGATACGTCAAAGAAATTATACGGTTTAAGGAACGGGGGCACGACCGGACCTTGCGCAACGAATACAAATGCGTCCCTTGGAGGCGCGCGTGACGAAATTCGTGAAAAGCCCGTGGTGGTCGGTGACGAAGGGTGGATCCGGGAATTTCCAGGGGAGGGGAAAGAAAGAGACTCGTATCGACGACAAACGCGATAACGTTCTCCCGCAAAACAACCTACAGACCAAACATCCACGAGATTCGCGTCGCATCGCCGAGAGACGGAAAAAAAAGGGGAGAAGAAAGCAAGCTTGGATGGATCGTTGCGATTGTTTTGAAACGATCCGACGGCAGCAGTTGCCCACTTTTTCCACCGTCCAATTATCTTCTTCCTCTGGTCGTGGTCCGTGACGTGGTTACTTTCCAATCGTAAACAATCGTGGAAGAGTCGGTAAGGACAAGGAGAGAAACGGCCGGGAGCACGATCCGGCGATCGTCGGAACTCCGAGTACATACTCTCGTTTGCGTAACGCAGTACGCCACGTTAGAAAAGGGGCAAGCGAAAAAAGTTACTCACAGTTTGTAGTGATGCTGCATGTGGTGGGCCATATGCAGATCGGCAGGGTGTTGTTGCAACTGCTGCTGCTGTTGTTGATGCTGTTGATGTTGCTGCTGTTGTTGCTGGTGCATGGTTTGGTGATGGTGAGTCTGCGGGGGATCGAGGCTAGAGGCACCCAGCAGGGTGGCGCTCTCCCTAAACAGCGTTGCCACCTGCATCTCGGCCGATTATTCCCTCGCGTATATCCAGACGAGAACGATATCACGTTTCGAACTCTATCCGACGCGACGCGGGCGGTTCGGTTCCCGTCGGCGAGCGAGGCGCAAGTTTTGCGGAAAGATTTTCGAGCGGTCGATAGGCGAAATTGGAGGCAGAGGGAAAGTGACAGATCGGCAGCTCTCCCCGACGGCTTCGCGGAGGGAGCGCGAGAGCCGTCGGCAGGCTAACGCGAACCGGAGGAACGCGCTCGATCCCGCCGCTATCAGGTAACTACTCGCACCGACACTCACTGGCACACACTGTCACTGCGGAGTAATTGGCGAGAAATTGGTGGTACCGTGGGGCGACGACGGGACCGAAAGCCCGGGTGAAAGCCCGGTCGGTCGCCGGCGACGCTCGTTCCCTCTTCGTGTAACCTGTCGCGATCGAGGCAACTTATCCAACGGGAATTCAATCGAGTCCTCTCGTGCTACTCGTCCTCCGGTTACCGCTCGCGATTCTCCTTGTCACCGTCGTCATCCTTCCTCCGTATCTGTCTTCTTTCGCTGAGAGCCGGCTCGCTCGTTCGCTCGTTCGCTCGGGCCGTCGGACGTTCCTTCGTACGCAGCAGCGTTGCCGGAGAAGAGAACGCGAACCGATTCTACACGCGATTCTCCACGCGAGCAGAAACACCGTTCTCTGTGTTCGAGCGAGAGCGGCACACCACGGCTACACGTGACCAGCACCGCGACGGCGATCGCTCGCCGAGCCAAATATCCTCCTCCCGGCTGCAAACTTTCTTTTCCAAGTTTCTCCTGTTCCGTGACGCTCGGCTCTGCCTTCTTCCTTTCCGCTCTCGCCTCGTCCCCCTTTAGCTGGCCTTGGTCTTTACGCGTTGCCCTCCTCAAGACGTCCGGACCAAAGAAAAGCCGGCTCGACTCGGCTCTCGCGACGGATCCGTACCGTCCTCGATCATCTCCTTTCCTCCTTTCCTCCTTCCCTCTAACCCGCACACGGCAACTGTTTCGTCTCCGCGTTCGCGTTCACGTTCACGTTCGCCTTCGCGTTCGTTCGGTGCACCCACGCCCCGAACGACCAACACGCCACGACGTTTTCTCTTTTTTCCCTAGCTTTTCTCCCTCTCTCTCTCTCTCTCTCTCTCCCACTCTCTTACTGTTTCTCTATCCCGCGCCTCTCTCTCTCTCTCTCCCTCTCTCTTTCTCTGTTTGCCTGGACTAGCGTCGGCCGCGTTTGCTCCTTCCTTCCTTCGTTCGTTCGTTCGTTCGTTAGTTCGTTCGTTCGTTCGACCAGTCGGCCGGACGACTCGTCGCGTTATTCCGATAACGCGACGGCGTACCGCTCCTACTAAAACTCCGTACGGCTCGGCGATAAAACTTCACCACGAACGCGCCTTCTTCTATTCCCCGTCTCTTTCCTCGGCTCTGCGCTCGTCTTTATCCACCGTCCAACTCTCTTCGACGTTCCACCCTGCTCCCACTCTTTTCCTCCTTCTAACCGTATCCTATCGCGTACGTCTTGCTCCGTATACGTTTCGATGAGAAATCTGCCGTGGCGTAAACACGCGTGCACACACACCACTAAATCTGAAACCGCGGCAGCAAGAGTCGGCACCGCACTGGTTCGTCATGTCGCTGGCTCGGTCGCTCGAGCCGTCGGCTTCGTGCGTTTCCGACCTCCCTCGACTATACTCGGTTTCGCTCGGTTTCGGAGCCTTCCGTCGGCCGTGGCGGTGGCGGTGACGGCGGCAGCGGAATCAACGACGCTGCCACCGGCGACAACGACAACGACGGAGACGACGGCCACCACGACCAACAGTGTCGACGACGATGACCACGACCCGGCTACTCCCTTTTCTTCTTCTTCCGTTTCTCTCTTGAAATTTTCACCTTTGTCTCGCCGTTTCCGTATCCCTCCCTCCCAAGCCCGAGTCGCTTCACTCTACCAGCAGGTGTAATATACGCGTTCGCGTTCACCGAGACTAATCGATGCACGGCGATCGACGATAAATCGAGGCGATGCGCCACTTTGTCGATCGTTTCGCGCGTATCGATTTTCCTGGCTTTCGTAAGATTCGAGGAAATTTTCGAAAGGCCGGTGATTTCGCCAGACAAATTTGCGAGAAGGTTAGCCGGCGTTCATCCTGTCCTGGTTGGTTCTCGCGTCGGTACCGACGACGGCATTATGCAAATCGCGCGACAAGATCGTGATCGCCGGTATGTCGCAACGCAATCGCGCTCGAGCCTCAAGGAGAAACTTTGTACGCGATATTCCTTCCTCGTTGCGAACCGTTGGAAACTGCCGCGAACCATCGAACGACCAACCGATCC